GCTGCTCCCGGCCACCGCAGCCTCGACCTGCTGGGCTCCGGCGATCCTTCCGCCTCAGCCTTCCGACTAGCCAGAATTACAGGCATGTGCTACCACACCCGGCTGATTTTTTAATTTATTGTAGAGATGAGGTCTCGCAGCCCAGGCGGGTCTCGAACCCGCGGGCTCAGGCAATCCACTCACCTCAGCCTCCCAAAGGCGCGGGATTACAGGCTGAGCCACCGAGCCCGGCCCATTTACTTTTTTAATGGCTACATTCCTGCTACAGTGGTAGAGTTTGAGTAGTTAACAACAATGATTGTATGGTTTGCAAAGTCTATTATCTGGCCCTTTGTTTTAGACAGTGCTTCCATTAATGTTGTCTTAGAGCTGCATTTTGGGCAGCTACATCACACTCTTTTTTTTTTGAGTTGGAATCTCACTCTGTCACCCAGGCTGGAGTGCAGTGGCATGCTGCTCACGGCCACCGCAGCCTTGACCTGCTGGGCTCAGGCAATCCTTCCACCATAGCCTTACAAGTAGCTGGAACTATAGGCATGTGCCACCATGCCTGGCTAACTTTTATGATTTATTGTTGAGATGAGGTTTCACCATGTTGCCCAGGCTGGTCTTGAACCTCGGGGGCTCAGACAATTCTCTCAACTCGGCCTCCCAAAGTGCTGGGATTGTAGGCGTGAGCCACCTCATCCAGCTACTATATCACACCCTTAATTCATCTTGAGCTCAGTCCCATAAAATGGCAAAGTGTTTCACATGTGGTACTATTAAGTAAATAGTGAAGAGGGAATTTCAAAATTTCTTGCTTTTCTTTCTAGTACTTTATGAAACCTCTCTGGAAAGGTTGGATTTCATTTTGTCTTTTTAAAAACATTTTTCATTTAATCTTAAAAGGGGCATACATGTGGTAATTTGTTCTAAACTGTCCAGGTAAAGTGTATAATTTAGGGCACTGATTTCAAAAGTGTGTTTTTTGAAAGAGTGATTCTTTGAAAAGATCTTCAGTAAAATGGTGCTATGACTAGGCACAGTTGCTCATGCCTATAATCCCAGCACTTTGGGAGGCTGAGGTGGGAGGATCACTAGAGGCCAGGAGTTTGAGACCAGACTAGGCAACATATTGAGACTATGTCTCTACCAAAAAAGCTAGGTGTGATGGCATGTACCTGTAGTCCCAACTACTTGGTAGGTTGAGGATGGAAGATTGCCTGAGCCCAGAAGGCTGAAACTGCAGTGAGCTGTGATCTTTCCACTGCACTCCAGCTTGGGCAACAGAATGAGACCCTGACTCGAAAAAAAAGAAAAATAAGAAAGGGTGCTGTATTAAATAAGTTGGGAAAACATTCTGTATGATAACCCTTTCTTTTTTTAAATTTAAAATCAATAAATTTTTATTCAAGAAATTTCATATGTTGTGATTCTTTTCACTATCCATCAAGGTTAGTTCCTCTAAAGCTGGAGTCAAAATTTATCTTCAAGAGATTTATCTTCAAGGTAACCCTTTTTAATAGAACTAATGCTTAATCCACACTTTCCCTGTCAGCCCCAAATTCTTTCATTTTGGCTTCTTTAATCTCATTTGAATATGGATATACTGATGAAAATTTTAGAATTCCTCACCAAGATTCTTTGGGATCTCATTTCTTCATCATTTACTGTAGGGTCATTTTTTGAGAAGATGGCTCTGCTTGGATCTCAATTTGACACTCTTTCTAAACATGAATAAGTTATATTTATTCCTAAATGATCACACTCAAGAATAGTACAGATCTGTGGTATATGCCAGTACTTTGAACTTCAGACATTATGTTCTCAAGATAAAAGCCTTTCTTAGAAAGAGCTATCATGATATTGGAATACTAAATCAGTGTAGCTGAGATTACCCTCATGTCCTATGCTTTTTTTGTTTTTGGGTCTCACTCTGTTGCCCAGTCTGGAGTGCAGTGGCACGACCACAGCTTACTGCAGCCTTGACCTCCTGGGCTCAGGCGATCCTTCAGCCTCAGCCTCTGGAGTAGCTGGGACTCCAGGTGTGCACTACCATACCAGGCTAATTTTTTCTTTTTTTGTAGAGAACGAGGGTTTGCTGTGTTGCCCAGGCTGGTCTTAATCTCCTGGCCTCAAGTAATTCTTGCTTCAGGCATGAGCCACCACACCTGACCTGTCTATGCTTTTTAATGATCAGTTCTGCTGTCCTGAAACCAACCTTTATGGTTGTCAGTACCCCATCACTGTAAACTGTCTCAGTTATTATAATATTCCGTCTTATCTATATCAAAACTCATACTGAACAGTAAATTCTGAGTTGCAAAAGAGAATTATTATTATTTTTGTACTTGTCTGTAAGTCTTTGTTCAGAAGTTAAACAAAAATATACTCAGTGCTGCTGATATCCCTTTCTTGAGGCATTTACAGTGCATGCATATCTTGTGTGTGTTTATGAGGGGAGACCCCAAAAATCCTGGAATTTATTTATAAAATAGTGTATTTATTCTTACATGTTTAAACTTTAGTCACCTTCAAAGTACTCTCCTTTTAATGCAATATACCTATCAAAGTACTTTTTCCACTGCTCAGAACAGTTTTTGAGCTCTCAATTTTGTTGCCTTTTTGTGCTTCTGCCGTTTTTTGTTTTATTTCTTCCACATGAGCAAAACATTTCCCTTTGAAGACTTCTTTCATTGGGGAAACAAATGTTGCTGGGGTGAGATTGGATGAATAGGGAGGGTGGGGTCATGCTGTGTTTTGGTCAAAAACTGCTGAACTCTTTCTAAACTTGGTGCGAGCAGGTGCACTCGTAAGTCACCCATCATGAAATGGGCAAATGTTTTGAAAGACTCTCTCCCTAACCGCCCCCCCCCAAATTAGCTGAAGCCTCTCACAATGATGTGATGCCAATGGGTTCCTAGAACACTTACCTAGCAGGGGAAGCCTGTACTGTAAGGGGCCTACTCCACAAAAGAATTCCTTTATTTTTGGATCTCCCTTGTATGTGTTCTCGTGTGCATGTTCATGTTCATGTACAGAGTACCTTTTAAATAATATTTCTTGATGTTCCAAGGGACATAATAGGAAATTATGGGTTAGGTAAAAGCATTAAAATTGTAAAGAGTGACAGTTATTGGTGGCAGGCTAGAAAACCTCTATTAAAGAATGTTTTGGAAGTTAATATTGCTCATGTTTTGGTGATTTCTGAGATGATGGAGAAATTACTGTTATATATACACAGTTTTTTTTTTAACATCAGTTGAGACATCAAAAGTGGGTGCCAGAAAAGTGGATGTCAGTTCCTTTAAATTATGAGCTCTAGATCATTCAGCGGCTTATTTGCATATTTTGACATCAAATAGAGATTATGTTGAAAAAAACGAGATTATTGAAGTGTTAGGAGCTATTAAGAATTAATGATCCCAAAAATAAGAAAATATTTTATAAAATTAAGATAATAAACAAATAGGGAAACTTTGACTTAGGTTAAAAAGTTCAATTTATACCCCTCTTTTCCAGAAATACATTGGTGAAATGAAGATGAGGAATATCTATGATAAAATTAGTTTTTTCTAGACATTGTAGATATGATAAGACTTTTTGTGGGTTTTCTTCTATTTTGTTTTTCTCCCTCCTTTTTTTTCCTCTTTTCTCTCCAAGGTTAGTATGTCATCTTTGGTCATTATAGTATCTTAGTTTGGAATGCTCTAAGCTCCATCTATCTGTTAGTAAATGTTCAAAAGATCATGCAAAGATCCAGTAGAAAAAGTTGCCGGGTTTGGTGCCTTTGGGAGGCTGAGGTGAGTGAATTGTCTGAGCCTGCGGGTTCGAGACCCGCCTGGGCAACTTGGCGAGACCTCATCTCTACAATAAATAAAAAATGAGCCGGGCATGGTAGCCCACGCCTGTAGTTTCAGCTACTTGGAAAACTGAGGTGGAAGGATCGCCGGAGCCCAGCGGGTCGAGGCTACGGTGACCGGGAGCGGCCACTGCACTTCAGTCTGGGTGACGGAGTGAGACTCCAACTCAAAAAAAAAAAAGAAAAGTTGATATAATTCAAACCAAAGAGAATTCCACTGTGGTAGAATACTGAAAATATCTAACTACCTATCCTTAGTTTTTTCATATTAAATTTAGATCTTTAACTATTGTCTAATGTTTGTTTTTTATGAGTGTAAATTGTCTTCTCTCCACAGAATCAAGTGACGGATACTAACAGAAAACTACAACATGAGGGAAAGGAAGTAAGACCAGTTTACCTTTTGGAAAAAAATGCATTGTTCATGCCATTTTCTTTTGCTGACTGTGTTATTCATTTATTGGTTTGTAAGACTGCAAGCAGTATGTTGGATATACTTGGACATTTTTGTTGCTTCTTCTAATGTTTACCTGAATTAAATGAATGTAGCCACTGGAAAGCCTAATGAGAGAGGATGCAGCCTTCCTTAGCTGTGTTTTTAAATCACTGGGTAATCATAATACAGCCAATGCTGTTCCGTTGCCTGGAATGTTATTTCCCCAATAATTACTTACTTCAAATCTTTACTTACATATTACTGTCTCAATGAGGCCTTTTTGTTCCACCTTATTTAAGTCACCCTCACTCCCTGCATTCTTTTTACTCTTTCCTGTTTTATTTTTCTCCATTGCACCGATTACATATTTTTACTTCTATATATTTTTTCTGTCTCCCTCCATTGGAGATTAAGCTCCATCAAGTCAGACCTTTTTTTTTTGCTTTACTCATTGCTGTATCACTTCCATCTATCTAAGTAGTGACTGGCAAAGAGTGACTGCTTGTTTAAAAAAAAAAAACAAACTATATCAATCTTTAATTGATATAGTTATTGTTTAAACTACCATAGTTTACAACATTTTACTTCCATTTATCACTTGATCCTCATGGCAGACAGTTATTATTGCTATTTTATTGATGAGGAAATTAAAACAAATGATTTGCTAAAGTTTACATAGCAATTGGCAAGGCTGGGACTAAGACCCAGGTTCTTTGACTCTTACTTCATTACTATACTCTGTATCATGCACCTTCCTTACTTCCTACTTAATGTTTAATCTTAATAACCTTTAAGATTAGCCTTTGATTGTTTTATCAGTGACTTATTAGGGCTATTCTCTTTCATTCTTTTTTGCATAGTATCTAAGTGGGTAACACTTTAAGATATGGGTATGGAACTGGGCTCGGTGGCTCAGCCTGTAATCCCGCTCCTTTGGGATGCTGAGGTGAGTGGATTGCCTGAGCCCGTGGGTTCGAGACCCACCTGGGCAGCGAGACCTCATCTCTACAATAAATCAAAAAATCAGCTGGGCATGGTAGCGCATGCCTGTAATTCCGGCTACTTGGAAGGCTGAGGCGGAAGGATCGCTGGAGCCCAGCAAGTCGAGGCTGCGGTGGCCAGAAGCGGCCACTGCACTCCAGTCTGGGTGACAGAGTGAGACTCCAACTCAAAAAAAAAAAGAAAAAAAAAGAATGATATGGGTATGGGGATGCTGCAAGTGGTTGTGTAGATTATTGCTTTTTTTTTGAAAGTTTGCCTTGCATAGTCTAAATTCTGCTAAGTGCAGTTTCTTCTAGTTACATTGTGGGATGACTTCAGATAGAAGCTTTTTGAAACATGAGCAATGAGAATAAAAGTGAGTTATTCTCACTAAACTGTAACCCTTAGAAAAGCCACGTTTTCTAAGTGTGTGGTTTATTTGTTGAAATAGTGATTTAGTTGAAGATCATTTTCTAGACTCATTTGAAGCTGTAAAGGAAGGACTGTTTTCCTTCAGGAGTGTAGCACTTATGAAAGAAATACAGAATCTTCTCTGAGGATTGATGAGACTATAAATCATAAAGTCTGAATAGGGTTTGGAGAAAGTATGCAAAATTTTTTTCCTCCTGGATAGCCTTGTATTTTAGGATTTCATTTTACCTAGCCTTTCTTAGTATAGTATGTATCTGGGGGAGAAAGTGGAAAACCGTGAAGGAATGTTTTACTGGTTGGAAAAGCAGTTTCTTAGTTCACTTGGCAGGTCTTACTATGAAACTGTCTGGGATTTTCTGATGAATTGAACACAGTGTGGAAAAATGTGACTGAAAGCTTCTTATTTACAGCTGTTGGCATAATTCAGTCTTTTTCCCTCTTGCCAAGCTGGTAATAGCAATGGAAGAGCTGAAGCAGTGTCGACTACAACAGAGAAATATATCTGCCACTGTTGATAAATTAATGCTGTGTCTTCCAGGTGAGGAACTGGAAATGGAGTAGGATTCTTGATGTAATATTTTTTAGCTTTAATTAGTCTTTCACTTTCTTGAAATAATGCTTGTGCTCTTTTCTTTTTCAAGTTCTCGAGATGTACAGCAAACTGAGGGATCAGATGAAAACTAAAAGGTAAGATTTTTTTTATTGAACAGTTTTTATTATCTAAAATTTCTGTTATTTAGATTACTTTTAAGGTCCATATTTAGCATAACTTTTCCAAAAATAATTAAATTCATAAAATCTTCTCTAGCCTTTTCTATATCTTTTGATTTATCCTAGATTGATTTACATATACTAGTGGAATGCCGATATGTTCTGTTATGTATTATGCTTAGTAAATAATACTTAGAGTTTGATTTTTAGAAGACTCAGCCTTCTAGGGAACAGCATATAACTATTCTAGTTATAATTGGTTTGAGGAACATGTTTTAGTTTATTTAGTACTGTCATATAAAAATAGCACTGCTTCTGGTATAGCAGTGCATTAGCTAGGGTTCTCCAAAAAAATAGAACCTGTAATTCCAGCACTTTGGGAGGCTGAGGCGAGAGGATTGCCTGAGCCTGGGAGTTCAAGACCAGCCTAGACAACTTGGTGAGACCTTGTCTCTACAGTATATTAAAACATTTGCCAGGTGTGATAGTGCGCACCTATAGTTCCAGCTACTTAGAAGGCTGAGGTGGAAAAATCACCTGAACCCAGCAGGTCAATGTTCGGGTGGCCATGAGTGTGCCTCTGCACTCTAGCCTGGGTAACAGAGTGAGACACTGACTCAAAAAAGAAAGCAAGAAAGAAAGAAAGAAAGAAAAATAGAACCAATAGGATGTGTGTGCATACCCATCTGTCTGTCTGCCTGTCTGTCTATCTATCGTGCAGAGGGAAATATTTATTTTAAGGAACTGGCTCTCACAATTGTGGAGGCTGGCAAGTTCAACATCTGTAGGGTGGGCCAGCAAGCTAGCATCCCAGGGAAGAGTTTGTAGTGGAGTTTGGGTCCAAAGGCAGTCTGCTGGCAGAAGTCCCTCTTCCTTTTGCAAAGTCAGACTTTTTTTCCATTAAGGTCTTCAACTGTGAGGCCCACTATGGGAGGTGATCTTCTTTACTCACAGTGTACTGATTTAAATGTTAATCTCATCTAAAATATACCTTCACAAAAACATCTAGAAACACTATGGCCTAGAAAAGTTGACACATAAAATTAACCATCACAAAGGGCAGGGGCAAGCTTATGTTCAGAGGATTCCTTTTCTGTGTATTGTTTTCTTCTGGTTTTGTTCCAGAGAACTTCTACAGTAACTCCTCCCAAACCAGAGTAAGCATTTCCACCATCTCTGTCCTGGGAATACCCTGCGATATGATGGAGATATTTGAAACTATAAGATAAACAGGGCATGTCTTCTTGGAATGTTAATTTCATCCAAGTTTTGAGGGAAAAAGTATGCAATTAAAATGTATTCAATATTGAACTAAGAACAGACATATTATAGATGAAAGTCTAAATTCTCAATAATTTTGAAACTAAAGTTATTAGGCATCAAAATTTTTTCTTTTTTTAGGATTGATTCTCAGACTCCTATCTTCTCTCCCCAAGGACATGCTCTCATAAGAGAACACTATGAGAAGTTCTGTTCAATAAGATATGAACGTAGTATTATTTCCCTAATAACCTTTTAGAAAAGTTCTAAAATTATTCAGAGTAACAAAAACACGTGTGCACCAACTTCTCCGAATTAATAGATACTATATTAACAAATTTCCAGTTTTGATTCATATGTGTAAATATATTTAGTATATATGTAAATATATGAACAGAGAGAGGTATGTAGTACATAATTTTAAAAATTACTGTTAAAATTTATATCCCTTCTTTGGTCCTGTTCTTTTCCTTACTCTCCTGAAGAAACTAGTATTATAAATTTGGTGCATATTCTTCTGGCCCATGTTTTTAAGTATTTATAAATCATAAATTATTTTATTTTATGTTTAAAACATAGTCCTTATTTTGAGATCTATTCATTCACTTACCAAAGATGAATCGAGAACCCACTATGTGCTAGTCATTGTTCTTGGTAATGGAGATAGACCTGTGAACAAAATTGACAAAAATATCTTCACTGTGAGGCTTCCATACTGTTAGACAGCTTATTTTTTATGTATACTAGTCTAGTTTGTTCATTTTAATTGCTCTATCCTAATTAATTATATGAAAATTAACATTTTATCTCCCAATTCCAGTGGTTGTCATAAGTGCTCTTCAGTAATATTTCTAGATCAACTTTCTTTTGGCACAAGGTTGGATTATATTTTTTTAGGCTTCATGTGTATGGGTTGAGCTGTGTGACTGTTTCTGAATGATAAGATGTGATCAGAAGTGATGTGTGTCACTTTAGGCTTAGCATTTAATTTCCAGTGCAGGCCCGTCACAGTTCTCTTATTTCCTCTTGGACATTAAAAAATGGCGACTGTCAAGCTGTCATCCTGTTAGGAATGTATAACATGAGTAAGTTTTAAATCTTTGTTTTAAAACACTGAGATTTTTGGGAGTTATTGTTAGTATAGGATAACTATCCTAACTGATACAATAAGGGACATTTGGTATGTTTCTAGTTGTTGTTATGACAGACAATAGTACAGTAAATATCCTTGTTCGTGTCTCTTTGGACTCACTTCAGATTCTTAAGAGTGGTGCTCTTCAAATGTTGCTATGCATATGAATTACATGGGGGTTTGTAAAATGTAGACTCTGATTGAGTAGGTCTGGGTCGTTCTGGAGCTGCTGCATTTTCTTCAAACTCCCAGGGAATGCCAGTTCTGCTGGTCTAGGTTTTATACTTAGAAGGAGATCACCTGGATCAAAGAAACAGTATGCATAACTTTGATCTTACTATTGTTCTCCAAAGTGGTTTGCCCATTTACCCTACCACTGACATTATATGGGAGGTCCTGTTGTGTCACTTCTTGGTCATATCTATATTAAACTTTTTGGCTTTTGCTAGTCTGATAGTTATGAAATGATATATCACTATTGTGATATTTTTCATTTTGAATTAGATTACTGGTGAGGCTAGTTTTTAGGCATTTGGGTTTTCTCTTGCATATTTTGCCCATTTTTCTTTTAGATTGTCTTGCATTTTCTTTTTTGTTCATAGGAATTCATTATATACTTTGGATGCCTGTTCCTGTTGTATTTTGTACATGATGTCTTCCAGTGCATGACTTATCTATTAACTTTGTACAGTTAGTTATTTTTTGTTACATAGCAGTATTGTTTTGATATAATCAAATTTATTGTGTAGGTTTCAAAACATTTAATTTTTAAGCATTCTTAAGTTTACTATAAATAGCTATGTCTTTTTCCTCAACCACTTGAAAAATAAGTTGCTAACATGATGCACTATCATCCTCAAATACTTTAGTATGGTTTCCTTCAGATAACGACATTGTCCTGTGGAACCACAATGCAATAGAGAATGGATATTAACATTGATATATTGCTAGCATCTGATCCTCATGCCCATTTCAAATTTTGCCTATTGTCTCAATTATGTTCTTCATAGCAAATGAATTAAGTTCAAATAACGTGTTACATTTAGTTGTTGTGTCTCTTTAGTCTTCTTCAGTCTGGAACTTTCCTCAGTCTTTTCTTAACTTTCATGGCCGAGTCGCTTTTGAAGATTACACATCAGTTATTTTATAGAATGATCTTGCTTTTTAAAAAGGCTATCATCTGTCAATCTCTGTTTTTAAATTAGACTGTTTAGATCTTTTATTTTTAATATAGTAATCAATACATGGGTTTAAATCTACTGTCTTTTAATTTATTTTCTACTTGTCCTATCTGTTCTTTGTTCCTTCTCTTTATTCCTGCCTTCTTTTAAGTCAGTTTATTATATTTTAGTATTTCATTTTATATTCACTAATGCCTTATCATCCAGACCTCTTTGTTTTACATTTGTTCCTTGGTATCCTCAGGGCATTGCTTACAGGACCCCCATGAATACCAAAATTTATAGATGCTCAGAGCTCTTATATAAAATGGTGTGTTATTTGCATATAACCTACATTCATCCTTTAAATCACCTCTAGATGACGTATAACACCTAATACAATATAAATGCTAAATAAAAAGCTATATTTTTAAGTTTGTATTACTTTATATTGTATTTAAAAAACTTTTTTGCGAACATTTTGATCTGCGCTTGGTTGATTCCACAGATGTGGAACCTCTAGATACAGAAAACTCTATTTTATTTTTTTAGTGGTTGTTTCTAGCTTCACAATGTATATCTTTAACTTAGAGTGGATCTTTAAATAATATTATACCAAATCACAACATGCAAGATTCTATAACAATATACTTCCATTTTATAATCCTTTATGTTATTGTTGTCATACTTATAGTTCTTATTTCTAAATATGGTGTAATGTCCACAATACATGTTTACTTTTGCCGTAAACCTTCTTTTACCTTTCAAATAAATTTAAATAAGAGAAAAAGTTTGTTTTTAAAAAAAATTTACCCACATATTTGCAACTTCTGGCATGTTTTATATCTTTATTTAGACCCAAGTTTTCATCTGTAATTTTTTTTCCCTCTGCTTGAAGATTATCTTTTAACATTTCTTGTTGGATTAGTGTGCTGGCTATGAATTCTCTCAGAAATATAGTATTTCTGATAAAAAAATCTTTTTTCACTTTCATTTTAAAAATTGAGTTATAATTCATATGTCTTAACATTCATCATTTTAAAGTATATGATTCAGTGGTATTTTAATACATTCAGAGTTGTGTCATCGTCACTATTACTTATTCCAGTTAATTTTCATCATCTCAAAAAGTAATCTTGTACCCACTCCTTTTTTCCCCCAGCCTTAATAACCACTAATCTACTTTCATTTCCAGAGACTTGCCTATTCTGAACATCTCATATGAATGGAATCATTTAGTATGTGGCCTTTTGTGTCTGACTTTTTCTTCTTAGCATAGTGTTTTCAAGATTTATGTCATAGCATGTATCACTGTTTCATTCATTTGCATGACTGAGTACTCTTTCATTGTATGGATATACCACATTTTGTTTATATTTGTTTATATTTTCATTTTGTTGATGAACATTTGGTTATTTTTGCTT